GACGGCAACGGCGACGGCAACGGCGGCGGTGGTGGTGGTGGTCGCGCTAGGTACAGTCAAGACATAGATAACAGCTGCAAAAGAAGTGCAGTATGAGCTTCACGATGCGCTCACAGGCTCACTGGAGCACCGCCTTTTAGCAGCCTTCGCGCTTCAGTCCGTACTTGCGATAGCAGAGGGAGAAGGCTTGCAGCCGCAAGCACCGAGGAACCGCAAGCGCCCACAGCAAAGCCTGACAAGGACATGCACCTTGCTTCAAACACTCTTTTTTGCGGGTACGATTACACTGCTTTTGCTCTTTGCTGTTCGGCGGCTGTAGGTCAGCATGTTTGCCCGGCAGCTGGTGGATTGCAGGTCGTTCAGAATAAACCTTGCAACACGAATCCAGAGAATCAGGCCTGTATCTCTGACTTGAGCACAGTGCGACTCGAGCAGCATAGCTTCAGGCCATCGGCTGTTGATTTCGCAGGCGTTAATTGCAACCTGCCGGAACCCGCTGTACCAAAGGTGCTGACGACGTGCTTAAACTACAACAAAGTTTTCCATGCACAGCAGCGTGACAACGGAGGGATCATGGGATTAGGCCCTCTTCACCGAGTAGCGCTGCAAGTGATCGTGTTGGCTGTCAGCTTCAGCTCCTCGCAGCCAAGGCGATACAGAAAGCTTAGCAAAGCATGAAAGGCTCCAAACACATGTGGGTAAACCTATTCCGCTATGTGCATCCTCTTGCGGATCCTGGAGGTCCGTCAGCAGCAGCAGAGGCTGATCCCAGCAGCCGGCTTCCGTGCAGGCACTGAGCGCGGCATTGTACCTTTGCCGGACCAAGTCGTGTTGTCTTCAACACAGGTATCGGGCTTGGGCAACCACGGCACGTAATGATATTTGTCTCGAAGTTCAAGGACAGCAGATCGGCGAGCAGCAGCAAGGATCTCTGCCACTGGTAGCCTTCGCCATCAGGCTCTAATCGACAAAACGGGCAAACAAGGGAAATCATGAAACGAGAGTGGTAACAGGTGGAGAGAAACTAAGTTGAATGCAAATTGACAGATTTACACACTTGAACGCTGGGCTGCTTGGCTTCAGCTTCTGGAACGGGAATCGCAACCATTGCAAATTGTCGGAACACGATCGTTCTGGGGATAAGAGGTTGCACTGATCTCGCAGACCATGCAAGCAATAGCGAGTTCCGAGAGAATTTTGGCAAACTGAAGATCACGACATCACCTGAACAGTTGAAATGGCTAGACCGCCACAGGTGAAGGAAGCAGCTGAGTGGCCCCACTCGCATGCACTGATTGCAGCACTGTAGCTGATCTCCTAGGACGCCGCGACAAGTGACATCTTGCTCCCCGTAAGCCCTTTCGTGTATCTATCAGCTAAGGAACATCTCTCTGCAGGTCCAATGTGTCAAAGTCTGCAAGGAGCCTTTGTATCTTCGTCAGCGTAAGGAACTTGAGCAGATGCGTGCAAACAAGTTTTCAAACCATGAGCAAAAGGCAGTCACCACTTTCCAGACGAAGCACTGCAGTGCCAACCGCCACTGGCCACCTTTCTGACATGCTGAAATGCATGCGTTGTAGGTCACGTCATTGCCACAGAGCTGCCACCTGCAATAAGGGTATTTGGGCAACAGCATCTGCATCCAAGGCGTGCATCCCCAACCTTTGCATGTCAGCCAGAACCAGCATTGCTTCTTCCCAACGTCCGCGCTTTTCACAGGCGCTAATGACCGCGCTGTACGTGATGACCTTGCAGAAGCGACCCCCACATACACAGCTGCTTGGGTCACTGGCCTGGACCTCCATGTTCCTTGCCCTAATTCGAGGGGCTCCAGGAACCCGGTTATTCGTTTCTACTAGGTAACCAAAGTCTCCAAATCCCAGCTGCATCAAGCTCCAGCTGCTGGGAGTGGAGCTCGGCCAGCCATTGCAAGGCAAGTTGCCACTGCCCAGCCTTCTCCAGGCCGCCTCAGCTTACAGGGGGAGTCCCTAACTCAGAGAGACACCGCATCGACGCAGAGCACAAATACTCAACTGTAAGCTTTCTCCAGGCAACTGAGGGCACTGTTGCAGGTGATCAAGTTGCCTGCAGGCACGGAAACATGCGGAATTTTACTTTGCTGTCTGCGTGAGAGGCCTTGCATGCGGAGTCTCTGCATGTCCTGAAGCAATTCGATAGCATGGCGCCACTCGGAGTAACGTCCACAGGCGCTGATCACAGCGCTCCTCAGCCACAATGCCAAGCACGCCCTGGTCCCATAACTTCATAAGCAATAAGTATACCTTCCTGAACTCAAAACTCGACACGTAGGCCGAGAATCATTGATATGACATCGAGTTCAAGGTTGAGGGAGTCAAGCTCCAGAAGCAAGTGCCTCATATGGCCACAGATGCAGCAAGCAAAACTTGGCGAAACCTTCCAAAGTCTGAAAGCTTATGAACTGACAGCGCTAAACCGCACGGATCTGCAGTAGCTGCCCAGGCACCATGCCTCTTGCCAGCGCCCTTCCTTTTCGCAAGCACTGATTGCTGCGCTATATGTGATCACCTCACCAGACATCACCAGACTCACGTCTCGCACAGCGAAACACAGCTTCCCATTCATCCATGGCTAAAGCTGCCAAGTAACGTTTCCGGCGAAACGCTGCTCCAGCATGTCTGATAGCCTGACCATGGAGAAAGCGCAAGCACATGAAATCCAACGCATTATGGCTGTGCTCTGCAGAGAGTTCGGCAGTGCCAAAGCGCTGTGAACCAGCGGGGCTCTGCCTTTTCTTTGGACTTCTTACCCTGCTTGGCCAGATGGCATGAGAAACAAGCTAGAATCCAAGTGTCGCCAAGCAGCAAACTCACAGCCAACTCCCACTGCTGCCCCTTCCTCAGCGCGACATCGCATGCGACTTGACCTCTCCGACGCACAAGCGCCCTAGGAGGGAGATGTTTCTATGACGCACAGCACAGGTTGGCACTGGCCATTAGACAGGCGCATTCAACTTGCTTTTTTGCTGTGGCGGCTCTCTGCGGCACTGATTGCAGCACCATAAGTGACCACGGTGCACTGGATGTCTGCCTCCTCGGAAGACACTCATGATGAATCACAGATATTTTATGCCACCATTTGGCATCATCGAGTCTAGTTGTATCAACCAACATCTGCTCATGCCTTACCGGAGACTCTGCGGAGGATTGCATTCTGAAAGCTGAGAGTCACGGATTCAAAAATATGGGCTGCTTGTGGGTAGACTCTGATCACTCCAATCTGAAGCATACCAGTAGAAAGGACAGTGCTAAAGTTGTCAACGGGCTGCCTGAAGCTGCAGCAACAGGGCAGCGGCCAATTGCCACCTGGAGCCTCTGGTGATCCGCTTTCCAAAGCCAGCTTCAACTCCAACCCAACATCGTCATTCTAAAGGCATCTCAGAACATCCTCTTATTCCCGCCTCTGCCGCAAGCGCTCATCGCTGCATTGAAAGATATTACATCGCTGTCCAGACTCGCCTGCATGCTGCTTGCGGACATCTCGCAAGTGCTTGTGTCCACAACACATTGAAAGCCTGAGACGTCAGAAGTGTGGCCTGTGGCACTTCTGCCAACAGCGCCAGGGCCCAGCGCCACTGCGAGCCTGTCAAATTCGACAAGGAAGCATCAACTCGCTCAGGTCTGCACGCAAAGACACAAAACGGGGGCGTTCCATAACACGACTTGCTCACGTCTCCAAACACCAATGTTAACGGAGTGGCCCAGGTTTGGTGGGCAGCCAGTCTATTCATTGAGTAGTTTGATACTGTCATAAAGGGTGTTGCAGGGGTGAGCATGGTAGAATTTTCGTCGGCTTTGCATCGTCTTTGGCCTAGGCAGGGCGAGGCATGGAACTGAGGTCTTAGTTGAAGTTCGCTAGCCTAGGCGGGAGGAAGAAGCACGGAAGTTTGATAGTATTGGCAAAAACCTGCCCGCGGCTGCTATATGCAAAGCCAAGTCGCCTTTCTCGCATGCACTGATAGCAGCATTGTATGTGATGACCTGCGTAGCACGGTTGCTGCAGGATGAACTTCGGTACCAGGTACCATGCGAAACATGTCACAGAAGCCGGGCAGCCTGCAGCTCAAGAAGCTCTGCGCGCGCGTCTTCCAGCAAGGCCAAAGCCCCGACCCATTGATTGCCTCAGCTGAGTGCGGTGTGAACCTGAACCTTGAAACGTGAAGCACAGACCACACGCATAGTCCATTTTTGCTGTCCTGATCTCGCGTTGGTAAGTCCTCGTGATTCACGCTTTTCTATTGCCTGTGCGACACAGTTGAGCTACACAGCATTCTCCCGGTGGCTGTTCGAACTCTGTGCTAGTCAGTTTGCAAGATGCCATGTATGCCAAAGTTGTTGATGAACTCACCCTCCAGGACGTGCAACTTGAACCACTTGACAAGATGAGGGGGCTGGTGACAGACCAGCGTTTTTTTGGCTGGGATCTCCCGCTTGTCCGAAGCCACGGCTAAGTGCCAGCTGCAGCCATCTTGAGAACAAAGAATTTCAAAGTGAATTTGGCTGGATATCACGTGAGCGAAGGAAAAGCCAGTGAGGTACACAGAATGGTGAGGAAGCATCCATATTATCCAACCCTTGCTGAAGCGCAGAGGCAGGCAATTTCTAGAATTTGCTGCGCAGCCCTGGAGCATAGCTAGTCGGTTCCCCTCGTCGATGGACCTGTAGATTCCATTCAGGACGCATGGAATGCCCAGAATCATCGTGACCCAGTAGCCCAGAAACGTATCAGTTTTGCCACCATTCGTGTATCGACCCCATAGCGTCTGCAGTATGTCGGTACTGTGCTCGCCTGGCTTTCGCTTCTGCAGGTTGGACATGCGGCTGTCAACGATCGGTTGCATTGAGTCGCTTTCCAGCGCGGATGCCTTACGCTTACCCCAACCCTGCAGTATGCTCATCAAGTCTGAATCCTCAATACATAGCAGGGGAGAGTCCAGAACCTCATTTAACAATCGAGGACTGAGAACCGGCCGGATCTTGAGTGCCTCTTTGGGATGGATCAAAATCTGTTCAAGTGCCTGACGCCGTAGGTCTGCAACCTGGAAGCGATCTGCACACGCAAAGAGTTCACAGGCCACTTCTGGCTTTAGCTGATTCTGGACAGCTCGCATACACAGCGCATGCAGCTTGTCCACCTGATACTTGTCGGCCAATGTGCCAACCTCCACTAGGGTTGGGATACTGCCTTCCACAACCCCAGAATACAGGAAACGCAAAAAGATCTCGACAGCGGCTGCTGAAAAGTCTTTGATGACCAGTTGGCCTTTGGAAGACTCTGCAAACGCATCGGAGTTTATCATCTTGTCAAAGACTTTGGACCACTTGGTCAGCAGCACAGACCAGACCCGAAACTCGGAGCGACTTCCAATCGCCCCATCCTCGCGGCTTTCTGCAGAACACTCTTCCACCATCACAGTAAAGTCGCCGCCCTGGCCGAAACACTCCCGCAACACATCCGCCGCAGAAGACTTGTCACTTTCAGACGCCATGTTGCAGCTGGCAGCCGCGCTAACACCGAAATGCCGGGAAGGTGATCTGGATCTGCGAGTCCGAGCAGCGCTGTAAACGTCAGCTCACTGACTGCCCGGTCACTTGTGGAGGGCAGCCTGCAGAGCCGGCATGCATCGGATATCCAGACAAGGCATCAAGGCTTTTGAGGCCTGGACACGGGGATCTGGGTACGTACATGTATGGGGTGCAGGGAAATTTGAGTGTTGGGACTTTGGGATACATCCTGCAGGCTGGCTCTCACTGCCTCCAAGCTGCCTTTTTCGCAGGCGCTGATTGCAGCGTTGTAGGTGACGATGGTTGGCCTCCCTGAAGCGGTCCTCGATTTATGAAAAGCAGTGCGGATCAGGAGGAGGACACTGGGAAAGCCGCTGCGCAGTACAGAGAAGGCATCAGCTTTCTCAGCCAATGTTGCCCAGCATCGTCTTCAGAGTATGGAGAAGGTTGAGTGCATTGCTCCACTTTGCCAACTTTGTAGAAGCCTTGATGGCCTCAGTGCCGAGCCATACAGAAAAGAAGTGGATCCACAAAAGAATGAATTCATGTCCAAACCTAAGCTTCACACCTTGTTGCAGGCCACCACTTCTTGTCCAGATCCGGGGCATCCCGAGCAATTGGATGTCCTGCGCGAGCATTCGTCACGCACTTCGCCACGCACTAGAAGTACGTACGGAGAGCAGACGTCATCAGCACATATCCACATGTCAGCACCCTCCTGCTTTGCTTGAGCCCACGCTGTCTCCATGCCAAGCCCGGACCATGGCACATGGGAGGCAACTCTGGCCATTTTTGCGACAGACGCCAAGGCTAAGCACATCATCCACATGCTGCTACATTGAGGGAATGACCCCAACTGCCGACAACAGGCACGACCTGCCATTACAATTCCCCGTATCTGACTTCTCCCCTCATGTCGATCAGTTGAACATCCAATCTGAACACAAGTTCAAGCAGACAAACGGCAATTGATCCTAGAATGTGGCGATTCTCTTGTTTCTTCCCGGTGTTGGCAGAAGCTAGATGCCGCTCTTGCATAATTTTTCACATATAGCAATGATGAGACGCTATAGCCGCTACTTGCTAGCACGATGGCTGGGTCGCAGGCAAAGCTCATGACGATAACTGACTCGCGAATCTCAGTCCATACGAGGTTCAGCAAGGAGCTTGTCCCGAGGATCTGCCTGCCAGGCTGCTGACCGCACAGAGTTTTCTGTGCCTGCATGTTTAGCTTTCTGCGGGGATTTTCAGGCTTCTCCAACGAACTGTCGACCAATGCCAGGATGCCCGAAGTTCACGATGAAACTCGTTTGAGCTGCACAGGCCCGCTTCAGCCTCAGAGCTGAAACTCCTAACACCCAGGTCAGAGGCTATCTCAGCCAATTGTCCTGCGGCTACTGCGGCTACCGCTTTCCTGTCCGGATTAGACTACGAGGTGACAGGGCCATCACTGAGGCATCAATGTCATGCAGCATTCACAAGTGGGAAGGAAGCAACCTTGAATTGCCACATCCTGCAAGCATATTTATCAATGACTGATCAGGTTTGTGAATCCCAGCTGCCCCCGCTCATCATTTGGCCCCACCTAAGCAACATGTTGGATGCACCCGCAAGCTGTTACCCTGTTTGCATTGGACTCTGCCAAGTTACAAGATGGCGGACATAGAGGTAGAATGCCAGCATCTGCAGGATTCGCTGATAGCCTGCAGCAAACAGTGGTTCTCTGATGGCTGAGGCACGTTGCAGGAAGAGAAAAATTCAAGGTAACCCATGCGCTGAAGGATGCTGACCACGAGCAGGGTTGCATAGGAGCGCTGTTCTGAGAATCGTACTGGACACGAAGAAGACGATGGAGCAGCGATACGTTGGATTCATGAAAGCTGTGGAAGCTCGACCTCGGCGAATGATCAACAAGCCTGCAATTTTCGCATCTTGGGGTGAAAGCTGCGCGCGGCACCTTGCGCTCACAGGCAGCTGCTGCTGTACGTTGGGGAGTAAACGGAGCCACACGTCTGAGTCTGCCATGGACCGTCATATGCTTCCGGGTCGCCCAGGAAGTTCAACGCGAAGAAAATGACGAAGGGGAGCATGACCACGTCCCACGCTATCATCTGCCAAAGGCTCAAAACAAGAAATTCCAACGCTGGCATGCCCTGCACACCAAGGATATCCAGGGAGCCTGTGGCTGAAGTTCTGGGATGGTACGCAAGCTGGCCACCGCGACGTGGCACTGAGCTGTCCAGCGCTTGACTCCACCCTACACACTTGCGCGAAAACTCTGACAGGTCAACGGCTGGCCAGTCGCCAATACTCCCACAGGAGATAAAAAATGACTGCGCGTGAGCTGAATGGAAGCAGCTGAGTTGCGACAGTTGCCGCGCCAAGGACCTGATTGCGCCACAATCTGCTAGATGACCAGTCTGATGCAAACACCTTCCTGAATTACTGCAGCAACAGCATTTCGTGGGGTCTTCATCACGGCGACTGGGCTCGGACATGCTCAGAGTCCAGAGATTACACCAAGGCCACGAGAGGAGAGAGTTGCGAGAGCAGCCGCAGACAATCAAACGAAAAACAACAGTCCCTACCTGTCTGGATACACGTTGCGGCTCAGCCCGCCACAAATAGATAGGTCCTTGGTGCAGGCCGCTTGAGTGCGACCTTTCTTATGCATGCTGAGATCTGTGAGAGCGTCATGAATTCTCGGCGCAGAAACACACTTTCCAGATCCTGCTTACATAGGTCTTCGCAAAACCCAAAACAAGGTTCAGCCAAGTTGCTCATCGGAATGCAGAAACATCAGAAGCCACGCAAGGCCTTAACATGTAGGGTAGTTAGGTTTGCAATAGGCGGCCGCTGAAAGCAACCCACACTTATATCTGAAACGCCAAGTAGCGAGGATACCTCAGCTAGCTCAACCCTCAGGTGATGTCAAGATGGAAGCATTAGCCCACTCTCATTCTCGATACCTTGCACTCACCTGATATCACTTCTCCAGCTTACGACCATTTAATAGGTTTGAGACAGTGACAGGGCAGCGTTCAGGTAAGCAGCTTCTGCCGTGTGCGGCCCACGGAAGTCATTCGTGCTGAATGCTTTGCCAGGGCCCTTTCCGCCACGCCCCTGAAAGGGACAACCACGATGGAATGCATAGACTAACGACTAGCCCCGACGGGCAGTGAGGGACCAGGCCTGAAGCGCCGGCGCAGAATCATGCGCCGCAGAAGGCGAACGATCTTACAGAGCGCCTAGCAAGCATAAAGGGAGCGGAAAAGGGAACCCCCCCCGAAGGAACCCCCCCCTCCGAAGGATCCACCCCTCCCCAACAGTGAGAGTTGTTTTTGTTTTTCTTTTTTCGCAGGGCGCCTAGCAAGCATTCAGTCCTTCTCTTCTCCACCCATCTTTCACCTCGGGCCTGTAAGGGTAAAAGAGTCCAGCTCTCGGTGCACCTGGTTTCGCTTCTGTGACGACAGGATCCGCCGCTTCTCCAAAGCATCATGGAAAGCCTTAGAGCGGACTGAGGACGGCTGGCTGCCAACTCAACTTTCACATGCTCTTCAAGAATAGCAGGAGCCCCCGAATGTTCAGCGAGAGCACCGACGTCAGCATGGCTGCTGGCATGGTGACGAAAGCCCAAGCAGAGAACAGGGAGCCTCAAGTGCGTAAATGCCTTCCGTACGTAGGCTCCGGTTTGAAGTCACTGCACTAAGACATGGCAAACCTTCGTACTGATTGGGCATGCTGGCTGCATTGAGGCAACAAGCGTGGACTAGCCTGACCTTCACAGGATACTCGGTCATGGGATAATCACCACTCATGTGGATCAGCCTCAGATGCGTGCTTATGCTAGCAGCGCAAGACTCAGTTGAATGCTTCGGGCTGTGTGCCGAGGGGCGTGTACTGCATGGCAAACCTTGGCATCGCTTCCAAGGTAACTGTGCAATCAGACAACGCACTGAGCACATCCAGGAAGAAGATGATTGTAAGAAACTGCAAGATGCGAACCCATCTCAAAGCTGGCTCGCCGTGAATAGCAGCCGATGAGTGCATAGAAGCTGAGTGGCCAAAAATTCGAGTACCAGCAAGCAAAAGTTTTGTCTTCGCTTTTGACATCGAACTCGGCGTGGAGAAAGTACCAGTTGAACCTGCAATGCTGCAAGATGCGAACACACCACATCTCGAACCTACAACATGTCTGGCCTTGCACCAGAGCACGTTTTGCATGGTCTGTGACCCACGAACAGGACCCCTTCAAAAGCCAGCGAATTATAGAACAAAACAGCGACATGCCTCCAAGGAGCGCAGCCATCATGAACCAAAAGCTCGTCAACACATAGCTAACTTGCAAGATCTGGTAGCCACGGCCAGCAAGCACCTGGATATATCAAACACAGGGGTACCAAGCTCAGGCAGCACGAACGCATCATTACCAATGCCAATGCGACACTTGCACTGAGCGCGACTGTTCCTCAAATTGTAGAACAAGAATACCAAACTGCCGTACACTCGTGTGATTCTGTGCGCGCTGGTCTGCCTCCAGGAAGTCACCAAAGGCAGGGACAAAGCGCTCCAAGGCAATCAGCCGCCACAGGCGCAGAGTAACAGCAAAGTTCCGTAGCTCATAGCTCACAGAAACACCTTCGCGACAGCATGCAAAACTCTGTGCAGGCAATTTGCAATTTCTGCTGCGTGCTGATGTGGCTGGAGCTGCACAATCCTGTTTGCTATTTGTTCAACATTCTGCCAACCCTGCCTCCGAGACAAGCCAGCGTGATTGGCAGAGAGCCTCCACGCATGCTGACTACTCACATGGACAACGCTCGTGCTCTACCCTAACTGGATTTGCCGCTCCAAAAGCCAATGACAACGTATGAACCAGGCTTGAAACTGGTGGCTTCCGAGCATGCATGTTTCCCTCGATTGCCCCGCAATAACTTCCAGACGTGGAACAGTCATGCTTTTTTGGGCGTTCTGAAGACTCCTTTTGGCTCCCTGAGATTTTGCGATAATTTGTCACAGGTAGCAGCGCAACACCAATCAGAGTTCAGGATCACGAAAAGAAGATCGCTTTTCTCACTGAGCCTCCTGAAACGTTGCTTGACAGACTGACCCAAAACACGTACCAACAATCAAAAGAAACAAAACTCTCAGGCCACAACCAAAGAGTTGCTGGTGCTCCTAGGATTACACTCTCCGTTTCGCTGATGTAGACGCCCATGAACAAAGAGCCAACAAACTTCCACGAAGGGCTGCTTCTAGACTACAGCAGTTGCATGGGGAAGCCGAAAGAAACCTATCGAAGGAATACCAGAAAATCAAGAACCTGGATTTGGAGGCAGAGGCTGGGCGCTTTTGAAGCTGTCGGTCAATTTGCACAGGAATTCTTCACATTAGATAATACTATGAAGTGCTTTGTTCTATGGTGGATGAAGGGAATCTGGCATCACCTTTGACCTTCCGAAGCATGATGATTTCCAGGGCATGCGGTCAGGCAGTGCAGGTTTCCTCCGTCCACAGTATGACTGCTGAGGGGCTATCCACGATTACAACCTGTGGCACTACGACCAACAGCTTTACACACCTCTACAGTTGCTGTTGCTGCTAGCGCTGTTTCCTGCTATTATAACCGAACCTCTTGTTCTTGCCATGACCACTTGCCATGTTGCTGCTTTTGCAAGTCTGCTTCCTCGTTGCTTATAGATGATGATTATAACCTCTTCACAGGATTACGCCTATGGCTATTTAGCTGTAAGGAATTAAAGGCAAGAAAAGATGATTCTGAATCTTTCCTTCGTTCACGTGAGTGTTTCTAGCTCTTCCAGCAGGTGCCTTGATGAATGAGATGATGCTTGAGGATCTTATGGATATCTGCTACAAGTGCTGCTGCTCCAACTGTTCCTGTACCTGCCAACTCGCCACTTTTACAACTTGCAAAGGTTTTGAAACGCATTCCTCGACTGATCTTGAAGCCATCACTACCAAATTATTGCCAAACTTATCAGGATTCTCTTACCCAAGCTAATCTTGCTATGACCTGGCATTGGTATCAAGTGCTGTACAAGATGTTGGACCTCGCGCAATGGCTGGAAAACCCACTGCGCAAGACAGCACATGCACCTGAAATGACAAGCACATCAGCAACGCCAGTGGGATGTAGAAACCTAAGAGCGAAGAATCTTCGCACCAGCAAGCATCGAATACTATCCTCCTGTTCGAAGACTGGGCTAGGGGCATCTTCCAAGGCCGCGGATGCGACCAACACCGGGCCACAAACTCGAGCAGGATAGCCAGCAAGCAAAGCCTGACCAGTCATTTCAGCGTCTTGATGAGCATGCTAGTGTGTTCAAACAGCAATGAGTGTTAGGATTCTGAACAACACTTCACTGCCCAACAGTGTTGTAAGGTAATCAGCACTGCTTGCAGTTAAAGCAAGTGGCGAAGCCGTCGCTGACAGGAGACGGCTGTATGTGCTGCAGTCAGCTGCCCGCAGAGAAAATCCAAGGCCTTCCACAACTGCTAGCACTGGACATGGGAAACCAAGGCAAGCTGGAGCCGATGCATGCTGCTGTACCATTACTCTCAAGCTAGTTGGAAGGACACGTTGTTGATGATTATGCATGGCAGATGACACGCATGAACAACCGTGCAAATAGAGACGACTGGCCGCAATGCACATCATGCCAATGCTGCTGATGCCGTGACCAATTTCATGCAGATAGAAACCGAGGACAAGAGTGATCATAGTGGTAGGACCATGGCAGTGCTGATAGGCATGATTCAGGTAGCAAGCTTTAATGCCTAGCTGCCGAGGCCAACGCTGGCGACGAGCATGATGATGATGGTGGTGGTGGCGAGGACACTGCCACTGCTGTAGCTGCTGCTGCTGCTGCTGCTGCTGCTGCTGCTGGTGGCGGCGGTGGCAGCGGCGGCGGGCGGGGGGATGGGGCTGCTGCTGATGATGATAATGATGATGATAATCATGATGGACGATCAATTCTAGTCCCCCTCCCCCTGCCCTCACCGCACGGGCCAAACCCCCGTCCCCCTCCACAAGGCTTTTCTCGTAAAACACTGCAACCCTTGGAGAGACTGCAGGATGAAATTCTTTCCAATCCACTGCAAACTAGGCCGCATGCTCACATGCTGCGATGCCACCTGTGTCGAAGTCTTCAGCGGCAGAGGCTGTTGCCTGGCAGTCATCCTGAAGCCAAGGACCAAGATCAGGACATACGAGCTCCACTTGCACAACAAGACCATATGCCAAAGGACCAGCACAAAAAACAGAAAACCTATCGTCACATGGTCATCGGCAATGGGGTAAACTGTGCGTACTGCCACTGAGGCTCAAAAAATGACAGAGTCTCCTTGGCTTTGCACAGCATGGCATCCAACAGTGCCACCAGCATAGCCCCAAACATGAGCTGGCAAAAGGCAAAAGGTGGAAAGGTGAAGAGGCCGGTCTCGCTGCAGCTAAGTATCCACACAGGAGGTAAAGCAGCAGAGTCCCGTGACTGCAATGATGGCATACTGCAGCCTCTAGTGCCGTGCTGTGCCGTACTCAGAAAGCGAGCATGAGGAACTGATGCAAAATGCAACAAAGGAGCCACCGCGCACCTGCGCCATTGCCTCAAGCAAAGTGACAAGCAAAAGGAAAACCACCTCCCCTGGCAGGCAGACAGACACTGGCCATCTTGGACCACTACCTTTCGATTTAGACCCATTCTGGCGTCAACCAGAAATGCTGATTGCTGATGTCAGGAGTGCACAACGACAAAAAAGTCATTGCAGCCCACTTCTTGTAGCCTGGCTGCCTGGATGCCGTTTGCCAAGGAGAAGCCTGTCACAAGTCATCAGGGTCCACTGCTCAGAAGTAGCCTGCCGCGTGCGCACAGATACCTGCAATGCAGATCCCTGAACTTCATGGATGTCATAGATTTGCCAATGATAGGTTGTGAGGATGTGGGTACCCTTTCGGCCTGTACCAGCGGTATTTCTGCGATCCCGGCTGCAGTCTCATCAAATCCTCATCATCCACCTGCGCAGTCGCTGAAACTTCGAAGATAGCTGTAGAAGCAGGCACCGGATTGTCAGGACGGCTTTGTATCCAAGTGACATCATGCACGTCTCCTGAGTACTTCAATGCTTGGATATCTTGGGTGGATGACACCAGCACATGAAAGCACGACTAAAGCAACAACCGACATTTCGAGCGCTGCATGCACGTCCATGGACTGTCCACAAAAACACAAGAATAACGCAAGAATATCAGGAATTCAAGGCCCAGATAGCAATGACAAGAATCACACTATATCATGTGTCGTAGATCTCTAGAGCCGAAGCTTTGTTGGGAGGTTGGGTGTTGCAGCCCTAGGCAGCTTAGAATCGGTACACGCCAGAGGCCCGCTCTTGAGCCAGCACGTCGAAGGCTACCTCAGACTCGAGCGCTGATAATGAGAGTTTGGCTAACATGTTTGCTACAAGATCAGGATGGGTAAAACAAACAGCCTGGAAACCCACATGCGGAATTTGCTAAAAAGGCACCGACATATTGTCGAACTCTTCCTGCAAAGAAACACTGGCTTCACTAGTCTGGCAAGCAGAGGCTTATGCACTTCCATGTGCCGCGCCACAACATTTTTTCCACCAACTTCTTGAGTCAAGCTTTCAGGCCTGTGCAAGCAGAACTGCCATGCCCGAGCCGCGACGGACTTCAGCACGGTTTAGTGTAGGCGCGTTGTGCCTGCTTAAGCATCCCAAGTCTAGAAGGTAAGCAACTGCCGGCTCAGCACCTGGACAGCAGCTGTTCTGCATGCATCTCATCCAGACCTCATAAGCAGTGGACATTGCCTTTGTGGACTGCGAATCAGCAATCGTACAGCACAACCATAAGAAAACCCTGAACTGCATCGCTCCATTCAGAATTCCTCCTCAGATAACTTGAATGAATCGCACGAGTGCATCATCTTTCAGTGCCTGCTGCACTACATAGCAAGCTAGCTGCCAAAGGAAAAATACGCTGTAGCATTGCTTTGCCATTAACATACGAGATTCCTCGTGGGGGTTCCGAGTCTCCACTACACTAGCACAAAGAAGGCACTGCTTCCAAAAGCACGCTTTGCCCCTCATGCCCAACATATGAAAACAAGGTCCGTGAAGTGTCCTTGGCTGGATTGCAACAGAATTTCGAAAAAGAGATTAGTTCGGGTCCCAGACGTTCGCGGAAGGCCGCACCGAAGACACCCATGGGAACTGTAAAGACCTCGGCTCGAGAACTTGTGGACTTGCCTTTTCCTAGAGTTACTGTCACAGGCTAAGAAATCAAGTCAAAGTATGTCTTCGGTAATTTTTTCAGCTTATGTTGCAGGACAGCCGGATGTTTGTCAAGGGCAGGCATTCCAAGACCCCGGAACATGCCATGGGAGCCCCACCTTGCAGCAAGAATCCCTGAAACGAGCTTGTTACCTGAGTAGCTGGAGGATGCCATGGCTGTGGCAGTGTCATGCCAGGTTACGCCAACGCCCACCAGCATAATGAGCGTGTGCACCGCCTTTCCCTCAGTTACCAGGTCAGGTACAGCCAGATACAACTGCCTCTTACATAGACAGAGCATGTCTATGTGCCCATGGCCTGGGCAGAGTGGTCATTCACTGGAGCTTCGCTAGTGAAGTCCAGACCAGTCATCCAGAAGGACAGGGGCAGCGTGCGAAAGTGGTCGCGAGTGCCTCAAATTTCTCCGGAGCAGACAAACTCTTGCAGGAGATGCGAAGAAAAACAAGCAGGTACTTCTTGCTCACCAGAGAACCCTCATCTGGGTTGTCGCGCTCTGCATAGTACATGAGCACAGACCCGCAAATCCACAATGCTGTCGCAAGAACGAAGGTAATCCTTTCCGGCATGCTGACCATGAAGGTGCAAAATGCCGTTCTCAAGCACTGTAGCTGTACATCGAGTCTTGTCCTGAAGATCACGTGGTTCTCCTCGAGCACGTACCGGAGCTGTTGGAACATGCCTCCAAAGAAACCTTGTTGGAAGATGGAGTTTTTAAGCAGCTTGGAAAACAGCTGCAGCGCATCTGTGTCTCTGATTTGCCTTCAAGTCGCGGTCCAGCTTGACCCAACGGAACATGCACATGCCATGGAATGCCTCAGGAGTGTGAAGAGATGGCGTCAGCTGATTCAGCGGCTAGCACTGTTAGGTGCATCAGGCTGCGAGTTGCTCTTTGCTGTAGTAGCTTTGGCGCTCACTGTCCCGAAACTCCTCGCTCATAGCTCCGGACATATACCCTATGTTTCCTCTACAGCCGCTTATACATGTCTGAGCATGCAACAGTGAGCGTTATTGAACAGAAAACTGGCAATAAGGCTATCTTAGTTTGGCTCGGGCTCCTGGCAGCTGCCATGCAAGAGCAAGGAGATCAACAGAAAGTAGGATGGCAGCCAAGCCATTAAATCTGCCTATGCAGGTCAAATTTCTGGACACCTTCAAAATGAAGCTTATGAAGCTTGATCTTGTATAAGGCGTTGGCAAGATGGACACCACTAAGAATGTACTTGCGCACCTGCCTCGGCCCAAGAGGCTTCTGAAGACTTTTGCAGACACTTTTGATACTTTTGCTTTGGCCAGGGCACGCTGCGCAAAGCAAGCGCTGCGACCAGTGGGCCTGGAAGTTGCCACAACTTGAAGCCACCCGCTATCTTTATCATCTGATAAGTCAGATAGCACATTGATTCTGAACGATGTGAAAACATCACGTGTCGCGCCAGGAAGGGCACGGCCACAATGACGTCCAGGTAGCGACTTGGGGCAATCCTGCACAAGGGAGTCACACATGCTCTTCGCAAGGTACGTTGCCCAAGCATAACCCAAAGCACCAGCTGAGGTCAATGCGCTGCGGTTTGCCACGCATTCGCATCATACGAACGACCTCGCTTTGCAAATGTCTCACTGACACACTCAAAAGCCTTGTTGAGACACCCGACCAAGTTAAAGCCGGTAGCAATGTCTGCTCTTCATTGCCGACCACTTAGTCCTCAACCTTCAATGTCTGACTCTTGTACAGGCTGTTGGTACACGAGCGTGAGGAAGATGAAGTTAGCAGTTGACAACACCTGAGTACAAGTGCATCTGAGACGAGACGTCTAGCAATATGCTGTCTGAGGAAATTTGAGGCAATGTCTGCTGGAGCCTCATCAGTGAATGTGTAAGATGCCGGCCACAAGTCCAACCATGCAAACTCCCCACAGAGTCGAATGAGGTGGCACACCCTCCTGCACCCAAGCAAGTTTTTGGCTGACAATCCATGGCGCTCCCCGAGTGAGTCCTCAAAACGCACAGACTTCCGAGAGAGCTTCGATGCAATGTGGTCCTGTCAGGGCTGCAAATAATGAAGGTGTGCAAAAGATGCAGCTGCGTCCGGGTCTAGATGGCATCAGGACTGATTGGTACAGGTAAAAAATGAATTTTGCATCGCGCATTGGAGAACGTGTGCCAAACAGCAATCCCCATGAGAGCATTGCATGCAAATGCATTTCAGGGAGCCAGGCCTGGAAAGCAGCTCCCAGAACCCCAGCAGGAACACTGAGCAAGGCAGTACCCACGAGACAGATCACCTCCGCGCCAGCTGCAGCTCAGAATCTGAGGACAGAACAGAAAAAGCACAAAAAACTAGAAGCATCTAACAACACCAAGATTAGGATGCGGCACCATGGAGTTCATGCGCCCCAGTGGTTGAGAAAACTCGTCCGCGTTGGGAAACTCGCCTCAAGATTGCAAGTGGTGACTAACGCTCCTTGACTCCTTGAGTCTGGCTATGCCTGAAATGTGAGTAGCTCTGAAATTGATTGGCTGTGACTTGGCAAGAACGCTTTCCCTGCCAACCAGGTGCCATGGAAATCGATTAAAGCCTTAGCGGCATGAAACTTCTTGCAGCGTAGTATCTTGAACATGTTAGTGCCCAAAAATGAAAAAGCTTCTGCAGAGCAGGGAAAGGACTTCTACTGCAGCATCCCGCGAACAGAAAGGCAGCATCGGAAGAACACAACCCTGAGGTCCAGTGCAAACAAGCAAAGGTTTGTGCAGTTTCTGGGTACAACAGCCAAGCAGCATAGTACATCGCGGAGGGGATGGATACATATCTGTGGTAACCTCGCTTGGAAGCAATCGCTATGTGATTTCGCTACCGTAGGCAGCTCTTGCCTTCGTGAACGGTGCCTTAAATACAGACCACATGTTTCCGCATAGCTAAGATCCAAACCGGGATCAACTCCCCAATAGAACTCCTCGTTGTTCTCCTCGGTCCTGAGCTCAAGGACTCGGCTGATTTTGCCAGTGCGGCCATGTCAGCACGGCTTCGCACACTCAACGCCAGAGCTGTTAAGACACAGGAAGTGAATCGTACTGCAGGTCATCCACATTGCACACAGCAGGTGGACCTGAATCTTTCCCAAAGTCGGGTACACCACTTGTCAGAAAGCTCCACACAACATAGCTAAGCAACGGAGATCTGCAACAAGCCTAGGCTCAAGGACGGATGAGAGGAATGCAGCAAAACGTAAGATGCGAGCGCCAAGCATACTTCTATGACTGCCGCTAAACCCCTCAAACATGTAGAGATCTCTGCAGACAAATAACTCCGGTTTGACCAGAGCAGCTTTGCCAGAATGCCCAAGCCTAGCATCATCTGAACTCAGGCGCCATCCTCAACCCTTTCAGCATTTGGTATCCTGAAGCCTTGCATGTTGGAAAAGAATTGGAAAACATCACAAGACAGACACTAACAGTGGTCCCACATTACAAGGTGAGAAGGATGCATGCTAAGCACGAGGCACTAGTCTCTCTCTTGCAGCACCCAGCCTTCTTCACTATGTCCAGCGCGAAGTGCGGCATCCACCATGCGCGGTATCCGAAGCCAAATGAAGTTGGGAAACAGGTTGGCATACTGCAGGGGAAGCGACAGTAGCAGGGCTCATCACAGTGGAGATTCAAGACTGGAGTTCATAACGTCTTGGCACACGTATCACTTGTCCGACTCAAGTTTCGTCTTATCTAATATGCAGAGTCTGCAGAGTTCGACAAAAGAAAGCCACCTCCAGCCTGGGGCAAACTCAGATCGAGAAGAGTAGGCAGCATCGCCAGGATATCCGCCCAAAGAAGTGGAGAAGTGAAGAAAAAACGCCTCAGATGTCCGCAAACAGACCTGCATTAAATCCAGTAGTCTTAGAATGGCAATGAGCTTCCTTTTCATTGAAACCCATGGCAAGCTAGTTAGTGGGCTTTCAGCATGTGATCGCCTGACCCGTTGCACGACACAGAAATGACCAACCTTCCGAACGTGGCAGGCTAATAAGCCGAAATATTACGGGCAGATTCCTAATGCACCAGAACGTGGATTCAGTCAGGCGGCGTGCGGGGAAAAGATGAAAATCGCACGTCGGCAGCGTAGAGCCGTAAAGACACAGCAAGAAGCAGCAGGATGGCTGTCCTTGCAACGCGCAGTCTCTGCGTGCATCCAACCAAACAGAACAGCCTGATATGAGGTAGAACGAGCAGACTATGAACATGCAAACCTGATCAACACCTGTACCCAAAGGCCTTCAACTCCCTGAACCAGCCAACAGCAGTCGAGAAAAAAGTCAACAGTCACCGGGAGCACCCCACCACACGAAGCAGCCACAAACTAGCCGGCGTGAGCCCGGTGAACCGAGCATCAAGTTCTCCAAATACCAAGCAGGTTGCTCCCAGCTGTCCTCATTGCAACATGTCGGATGGTTCAACGTCAGCTGAGTGTGTTACTGGCTGCAAATTGTGCATCTGTCATTCTCGATGGGCGCAAATACACTCAAGTCTGCAGGGCCTGTTCATAGATCAGCTCATGAAGCAATCGCATGTGATTGGGTCAAGAAGCCCCTTCACTGTTCAGACTTGCACAGATGCTTCTAGGATTGCCAAGTCTCAAAATACCTCTGCCCATTGCCGAGCTCGCAGGTAGAATCCGCAAAGTCAAGAAAGCATACGATCCTAGCGCAGTGACGAATGCTGTCACAACCTGTAAATCCATGCAATGATCTTTACAAGGCAGGTATGCGCTACCAAGTTCCCTCTGACTTCAAAAGGGCCGATCAAGAGCTGACGCATGCACAACAAAGTCACGGCGTCCATGCATTCAAGCCGAATCAAACCAAGTCTCGTTAGCACCTGAGTCACTCAAAAGGAAGCTGTGCTGCGTGCGGTGAGTTCAAGCAACTAGGCGAACAGCATGGGGCATACCCCGCATGATGAGCGGCAGGGTCTTCACAGAACTCGGGCCGGGCACCCCGAGAATGAGCTCCATCACGTGCTCTCTCTCGGGTGAAAACCACAACTCCGCCTGACGCAAACGAGAGAGGCACTGCTCATTTCATAGAACCCTGCCCATGGGCATGGGACTGCCAGGAGTGAACCTGGAGCGCACCTTCCGCGACGATCTGTGTGAAAGTCGCAGCTCGGCCTTCACAAAGCCTCGACCGGCGGAAAAACGACATGGTAGCTCATGGGTAAAAGCCTCTGCACTGGCAGATGAACACGAAGGCCAGCCAAAGATCCAGCAAATTTTATGTTGCTTGTCATGGATGGGCGCGTTACATAGATGCGCAATTTATCACAGAAGCCAGTGCACCCTGCAAAGGACTCACTCAACGCACTCCTCATTCAACGTGCACGGGCTAATGAGGGTGTTCTCCATAGCGGCCAGGCTGCATCGGGCGAGCAGCACAGATGCACCACCGCCAACCTCACGAGATCTCACGGCAATACATGCAGCAGGCTGCAGGCATCCAACTGAAGACCAAGGTCTGGACCAAGGCCATGAAAAACCATCCTGCCTGCATCCACACGGACTGGGTCCTCAGAAGGCGCTCAAGACAGCAAAGCTCAGCAAACCTTTCGCTCACGTTGACAATTCCCGTTCTGCCATCCCTCGGAGAGAGACTCGAGGACAGCATGAGCTACACGTCCTGTCTAAAAACAACAGCTCATTCACCAAGTCAGGGCTCGCATCAAGGCGAATGACGAAGTCGTCTGGACCTGGGGCAGCAAGCCAGAGGGGCATGTTACGAATTCACACTTCAAGAAGCCCGGCATGCAATCAGACTGCGATGTTGCAAAGTCTGAGCGAGCCTGTGTCTCGCCGTATCTGAGATGCAGAGACTAAACTAAACCATGCCACCCGGCACGGCTCGGCAATGCCCATCGCAAGGTCCTTCTGTGCATGCAGGTGACTTTCTGGATTCTGAGGCGCCGGGTATGGCCCAGCGTGCTTGCAGCACACATTGAACCTGGGCCGGTGCAAGGATTTCCCGAAGCCGGCTCCCATGAATGATCTATGTGGGGAGAGAGCCTGCATGATAGTCTGCGGGACCTCAATAAATTCTGAACTGATTCTTCCTGCTGGGGAAGGGGGGGGGTCCAGGAATGATTTGCCGTCCTGGCTGCCACTTGTAGGCGCAATTGAAAACGTCTGACTCGTCTTCTTTGGACAAGCTGTACGTCGTCGTTGACCTTGGCTGCAGTGGCGAACGCGGCAAATGCCAAACGAGGCTGCCGTAGCCACATGAGCAGCAAGTGTTAACGACAAGGCACATGGAGTCGTTCTCGATCTCCATGGCCGTCAGGTTCGATGAAGTGACAAGAACTTGAGGTACCTTTGTGTCTGGCATGGGTTCATAGCTGGCCAAAACCATGCATGATGCTTTAAGGGCTCACAAGATGACTCAGGCAGAGCCAATCAACAAGGCACTTCAGAAAAATGGTTTCAACTCTGTCGGACTTGCTAGCTCGTTGCCGCCACAGTGTTCAAGGCCGCGCCTCCGCGCAACTGATGCATCGGTTCACTTCTGACAAGCAGTCCTGGAGCACTTCTTCCCTCGCAGCTTTCGCGAGTGCCTCCATGTAGAGCGCAGCTGCAGAGCAGCGCACGCCGCAGAGCACCCGGCGCTGCCATTCCAAACCATGGTCCCTTGAAGGGCTCTCCGACAATATTGACCGATGCACAGGACACTCTGCAACGCTTGTCAACCGACCCCGGGCTGCTGAACTTTAGCCTGGCTTGCTTCTGTATTTTCGAAGGCAAGAGCCAAGGCTGCCGGCCGAAAGAGATGCAAGCATGCGTAAAGACACAAGAACATGCAAGCTCGCCCTCACAAGACA